CGTCCCCTTCCCCTGGGATCGCCGCTGCCCTCGGTGTGGAGATGGCCGGTGCGCACCAGCTCGCCGTGGGGAGAGGCCTGTCTGCTCAGCGGTCGCCCTGAATGCCCTTTCCGTGGGTTAATAAACGCCGGGTTTTTTGGGGGGAGGGGAGGAAGAGGGAAAACCAGAAAAGGCATGTTGGTAAAGTCTGGCTATATTAAGCACTTATCTTGGCATCTTCACGTGCTTCCAAAAATGTCTTGAATGTTAAGCACCTGTTTGTACACAAGAGTTTTTAATACATTGCCCGAGGTTACCAATTGATGTGATTAAAATGGTGGAGATGTGTCAGAGGGTTCCTTCGCCGCGCTCTTGGAAAGGGACGCAAGCAGAGAGTACTGCCCTGTACGGGAAAACATCATCGTGTGTGTCAGTGAGGTAGAAAACATAAACGTTTTATGAAAGATAATTAACTGACTTTATCACGGGCGGGTTTTAAGGCCTATTTTACATCATCGCCTCCAGTAAAAACAGACGTGGATTCTGTGAGACTTGGTTTTCAGAGCGGTTGAGCTCCACCGGTTTCTGCTGTTTGGAGGTGGAGTTAAGGCTGCTCCCTTGTCTGAAATCTAAATCCAAAGGGTTTTTTTTCAGCATGCTGTTTCCTGCTTTGTGAAACTACAGGTTTTTCGTGTTGCTCGCATGAAAAAAAAGATAAAAGCATGGTTTACAGCTTTAAGGCATAAACTAGAACAAAGGTTAAAACAAATAAACAAAAAACCCTTCTGGAGCAGTCCAAATAAAATAGTTCCATATATTTGACTTAGATATTTAGGTATTTATTTTGTATAAATGCTTGCTTCTGACGTTTTTTTAATTTAAGGGGTAATTGTAACTGAAAAAAATCCTCAAATTACTTTTTCTCACTAGTTATTATGCAGTCATTGACTTGTACAAACAGTTCAAAAAATAAAAGAAAACCCCAAAACCCCTAGGCAAGAGGGTGTGCAGAAGGGTGTGAAAATAATACTGGAGAGGAGATTAGAAGTAGCGAGTAGGCGGAAATGGGAACAGAGATGTGGGCAGGGATTATGCAGTTTTCAAGGTGAAAACAAAGAACCTGAATTTGATGCAGTAAAAGGATGAGAAACCAAGAATTAGTCCTGAAATGGGATTGACCTGGAGTATGTCTTTGGTGGCATTTTGAGTTCAGTGCTGCAGAGGCGGAGGTATGAGGAAATGAGAGTAGGAAACCATGCTAGCTGGTACGGTGACAACAATGGAAGTTGATTAGTGATCCATCCAAGAAAAGACAGTATGTGAATTACATTGTTAGCAGAAGTCAAAATAAAATGTGGACTGGAAAAAGCAGCAATCAAATACGTTCATTTCCTCTTGTACATATAGGACAGTCTATATGTGTTATCTTTCCAACAATATTAAATTAACAGAAAAGAGGGGATTAATCAGGTAATAACTATGGACTATTTATAGACTTCCACTGCAGAAGACGGTGAGACTTTCAAAGCTCAGATGTCAGCAACATAGAGGTAGAGTAAAGCAGACAGAGATAAATCTGTCTTTCACAATACAGTATCACTCTCAACATCAAGGTGAGGTGAGGACATGGGGGCAAGAAATAATTTGCAGAAAAATTCTAGTAAAATGAAGGTTAAACATAGTGGTAGGGGGCCTTTAAAAGCCTTGAAGACATGATGTGGTCCTGATCAGTCACAGTTGTGATCACTTCTTACCACAGTTTTAAAGCCCTTCTAGACTAACGTGTAGTTCCCTTAGAGTAGATTTTATGGAGAAATCTATGCTGCTTTTTTTTTTTTGGCTAGGAGGCCACCTTACAACCTTGGGGTTGGCAACACAGCTCTGACAATGTCTGCTCTTGCTTTGTTCTCTGGATTGTAAAGTGTCACATATTTCTGTGCGAAAAATGTATTCAAAGATGAACACCTTATGAACTGCATATAATTCATGAATGAATTCGCATGAGATTTTTTGGATTCTTTTAAACTATGCCGGCAGGAACTAAAGTTTGCCCCCCCCCAGTTATCTGGTTTGTATTCATCTCATATGACCTCATTCACGGAGGAAACACATTCCAGGCACAAGGGAATTGTTTACTATAAAACTGTTTTCTCAATGAATGTGGAACTGGAAATTGAACGCTAACATAAACATCCTTGCTCTCCAGTCCAAACTGCAGTTGTACGTAAAGCAATTCTTAATTAATCTGACCTTCATAAATAACATCACAAAGTGTATAATTTCAAAGAGCAAGCTGACCATGTCTGCATATATCCTGAGGATTGGGAGGAAAAAAGAATGGATAAAACATGCTCATTGCTTTGCTAATTAATCTTTGGAAGAAGCTTCAGTACAACAGTGATGTGTTTAGAGAAGGCGAGGGAATACAATACAAGTAGATTAAAGCAGCCAGACTATAAGAGCTGTTGCAGCTGTGGTTTTCTGCTTCCTCAGTTTTGTTAATTTAAATCCTTCAACAGACTTTTGCAATGACAATATTGTGGCTTGCGATATTCAGGATGAGCCAAAGCGTGGCAACTAAAGAATCAAAGTAGTCATTTAAACATGGAAACAAATTTGTGAATTGGTAATACTACAGCGCAAATGGTTGATATTACAAGCGTCCTTTTCACAGAATCACTGAATACCAGGTCGGAAGGGACCTCAAGGATCATCTGGTCCAACCTTTCTTGGCAAAAGCACGGTCTAGATAAGAAAGCCCATCACTCTGTCCGGCTGAATCTTAAAAGTGTCCAGTGTTGGGGAATCCACCACTTCCCTGGGGAGATCGTTCCAATGGCTGATTGTTCTCATTGTGAAAAATTTTCCTCTCCCCAGGAGCAACTCATACCCATTACCCCTCGTCTTTTCCATGTGACTCCTTGTAAAAAGGGAGTCTATCTTCTTTGGAGCCACCCTTTAAATACAAGAACATGGTGATAAGGTCTCCTCTAAGCCTTCTCTCAAGGCT